CCGGAGGACCGAGGATTCGAAGAGGGGAAATTAGAGAAATAAGAAAGGCCCCTGGCCTCAGCCTCTCAGAAACTTTGTTTGTTGCCTGCTGTCGCTATATTAACTAATCATGGTCAGATAATAATATGAAGAGATTTGGATTCAAACGATTCAGGGATACGTTATTCCATTGAATAATCTGTTACTGCTACACTTCTCTTAAAAGAAAACAATAATAATTTAATTCAGTTACCATATTTGCTGCCTGCACCTATACATCATTAAACATTGAATGCTTTTGTCTGGACCCAACAGGGAATTGGGAACACCTCGCAGGGAGCAGCCAACTGCATCATGTTCGTCCTGCTGACTCGGCCGCTCCGCACACGCCTCTGCGCCGCACTCTTCTGCTGCTCCAAGTGTCGGGCGGACTCTCAGGACGCCGCTCAGAGGCTGCTGCCGGGACAGGACGCCTCCACACCGAGAGAAGAAGACCGCAGCAATCGAGTGGGGACTGATAGATGATATTCTGCGGGTGAGAAGAAAAACTAGGGTAGACATTCGGTGCGCGGGGGAGCTCTCTGCCTCACCTTGAGCCTCATTACAGCGAGTGCCTGCTGAGAGGTTGGAGATTCTGCAGGTGTTTGCACATCTGTGTCACAGGGAGTCACACGTCTGCACTCTGGTGATGAGGGTGCTGCTGCCTTGGTGAATCTTTTTCAGTGTGGTACTTGATTTTTTTTGTTTTATAAAACATCAACCTTAAAGTGCTTTTTTACTTACAGTTGTTATTGTAGGTGTTTTTCTTATTGTATTTTGAACAACTGTACACTCCGTCAAGGGTTAGTAGCTTTATTTATCACATAATATGTGGGTTCACTTACATTCTGGGATTATCACTGTCAAGTTAATGAATATTCAGTTTTTATATTGTTACACTGTACAGACTCGTTTTTATGGAGAAAAATGACCCACATTTAAGTGCCTGTATAGCATTCTCACTGTGATTAACAAATGGTGTCCAATTCTAAACTTTCACAAAGACTAAGTGAGAACAACCACCTACAATCGTATCTTACCACTATCAAAGTGTGTTGGCTTGAATGGTTGTGGTCAGCTTGAGTGAACCTTTTCAGTTTGAGTTACTTATGTGCTCAGTCATTGTTCTTCTAAAATATGCCTAAATGCACGTCTTACTAGAGAGCTGTGGTGCTTCGTGGAAGGTTATAGCACAACAGCAGCAAATTGGCTCCTATTTTGGTGAATGAAATAGATTTTGTAACGCACTAAATAGTGGATAAATATCTTGGAAGACAATTAAGCTGCAGGTGGGATATGAAAAGATTCAATTTCACACATATTTTCCAAAGTGAAATCCTGTCAACATTACAATCCTTTGTAACTTTAACGACCTTAACCTGAACACAGCTGCTGTTTTGTTACTAAGGAAAAAGGCAAACAATTGTGCATCATAGCTACACTTTTGTTTGTGTTTATATTTTGGGTAGATTATCCTAAATGTTTGTACTTTAATATCAAATTTCTAATATCCGATATAACTTTGCATATGTGAAAGAAACTTAATTACATCTGACTGTCTATATAAAGAAAAGTAAATGACATGATATGGGCACTGTTTTCTGAGTTGAATTAACTTAAATACACGTTCAACCTTTTTATTTAAAAAATATTTTTCACCGAAAAACACAAAAATAAGAAACTTTGATGGCAATAAAAATGTACAATTTTGAATACAATAAACATTTACTTTTTTAAAGCAACATAAAACAAGAACAGCTGCAAGTGAAATATGATGAAATTAACTAAATTGATTACCCTAAGGATAAACTAAGCTGAAGATTGTTCTGCATTTTATCATTACATTAAAAGTTTCATCTATGATGCTCCATATTTAGTATTAATTCCAACTATATTTGTGTATCCTATCATTGCCTAACTTCATAGTTGCAACATTTTTGGACAATAGTAGCAAAACCCCATCAGTATTTGATGTGTCACAAAAAATAACTTGACATTGATACTGTTATTGTGGTCAGGATGCATGACCTGGCATCACATGGCGTCCTTCTCTTTTTGAAACCAGACCTTGTGAGCCTCACTTCTCCTTTGACCCCCGCTGTTGTTAGCTCCTGTTCCCCGACTGAGCTCCAGGCCCAGCGCATACCAACGAGGCGTCACTTTGAACCTGCTGAACCACACTCATGCGACCACAAGCCCCGTAGTTCCTTCAGCTCTTTAAAATATTGTCTAAGATCCATTGAGTTTTAATGAGCCTGCCTCAGAGATGATGACCTAAATTAAGATTCATTACTGTGGTGATCGTTGGAAAAAAGGTGAAGCAAGGGAATTTTCATCTTTTTGACAGCCAATTTTCTCTTATCCTAAAGTGATTATTGTTTGTTTGACTCTCAGAGGGCAGGCACTTGTTTGTGTTGAGAAGGTGGCGTCACAGTGAGGGGATTTATGGCTGTTTGCTCTGGGTTGGCAGCAAAATACAATTGTGGGGTACGTGTACTTGCGTATTTCCATAGTATGCTACTTAATGGTTCTACACTCCAAAGAAACTAGCACTTTGTAATGTAATGCAAACTATCCCTACATACATTAGCTACATGACTAAAGTAATGGGCAAATGAATGTATCACTGGACATCATTAAGTAATATGTTTTACATTATTCAGAAAACCTTTTGTACATTTACTTGATGATCTTGAATGCATGACTTACTTGTAACAGAGTATGTTTACAATGTAGTATTGATAAATAAGATTAAATGTTCTCTTCCACCACTGTGTCTTGATCTGTTTGATGACTTGGGTAATGCAATAGTGAGTAATGTGGTTGTAATAATTTGTATATCAGGTCAGTCAGTCAGTCTCTGCAGCTACACTGAGGGCAGTTAGTTCTCATACATCATTCCAAAAGCCTGGAGACTTTTGGCTGTTTATAGTAGAAATTATGAAAACATCAATATTTGTATGAGATAAAGAAGAGCTTTCCTTCCATCTAATTTTACACATGGTCTAAACGTGACACCGAGCAGAGGTCGTCCTCTCAGGACCAACAGAACTGATACCATGTCTGGGAAAATGGAACAAGTGCAGTGCTGTTTGCTGATGACATGAAAAACAGATATTTGTCCTTGAGGACGGCAGAGGCCAGACAGACGACCGACACTTACTGTATTTCCTGCAGGAATGAATCCATCGTGTCATTGTGAGATTGGGCTGACACTGGTGTAACTGGAGCTCTTGGAAACACTTAAGGAAGGGGTTTCTGCTCTCTCCTGCTGGCTCTCTGCCCACTTAATTCATTAAGTTAAAGAGTGCCACGCTGCATGGGGGGACCATTCACCAGTCAAGGTAATGGAAGTACTTTTTTCACAACACAGGCTGTTGATTTGGCTGCGTCAGTAGTTCATAGAGCCAATTCTCAACACAGCAGAGGTAATGAGCAACAGTTTAGAGCTGCTTATTTAAATTAGAAGAGAGACACGCATGTAATATAAAATGTCAGAAATACTAGATTCATTAAAAGAGAGGTTACTGGTTGGCTCCCGTGTTCTCAGTGTGTGAATAATTAGGCAGTGAGATATTAAAGGGACACAGAGGACTGCACTGTGACTTTCTTCTCCTCTTCCTTTGCATGTAGAAATGCTACCAAACACAGTATTAGCTCCCCCAACTGTTACCTAAAAATATTGCAACCGCTCTAATCAACTTTAATTTGGCCCAAAACTGTTGTGGAATAACTGACTGCAATAGGCCTACATGTTATTTTAAATGTTGATGAAAGTACTTTTATGGTAACAAGCTGTTACTGCTGCATTTTACTGCTGTGTTTTTCATTGGACAGAAAGCTGGTCAAACAGACTTCATCTAAAAAGTAACGCTGTCCGACAAAGTAGCTTAACGTGGAAATACGCAAGTTCTTAGTTACATTCAACCCCCTGGGCATAAAGATAATGTAATAAACAAATTGGTTATTGTTTTTGGATCATGAGCCTAATCCATCATTTCTAATGATTTACCTGTAGTTAAACACATAGCCTAGCATTTGTTGCAACATAATTGGACAAAGTGAAAATGACGTATGTTGAATTTAATATATGACAGTTTTTCTTTTAGTTTTAATGGTTGAAAATATAATTTATAAACTGTGTGAGCGAATAAAAATGTGTCTTTCCTAAAAATGTTTGACTTTGTTTTTGTTATATCATTATTGCTCATCCCGCTTTTCTTAACGTATCATCTTTCGTGAGCAAACAGTTCTGATTTCTAATCATTCTTGTTTCCCACCAGCATTATCTACACACATACATGTTGTGTATTCACTTGTTTTTGTAGTGAGGCATCCCTGAAGCACAACTTTCAGGGCAAACCGCTTCGGGGCCGCCGTATTGACAAACAGACTCGGTTTTAGAGATAAGAGCCATTACAGCACCTGACACATTGAATACAAAATAAACGACAAAATAGATTTACAGCTGTGGTGTTTTTCTAGATAATTAATGTTTTCGGTGATCAGTGTAAATACTGAGAATTCCTTCAAATCATACATAGATCAGTAAAGTGTGTTATCTTTAAAGCCTTCTCCAACTCTTGGTGATTTCAACATCCGGTCTTCATCCTGTTATAACTCCATATAATCCAGGTGGCTAAGCAATAAAGACGCTCATGAAGCTTTATCAATTTGATGATGACATAACTCCAAAATGACAGTTTTAGATCTCATAAATTGAACTAATTCAGTTGAAAGTGCACTGCAATAAAAGCACCAGATATTAACATTCAGCCCAGGGAAGCATTTCATATGTTGAGTGTATTGCATACAAAACTTCCTGAACCTGAGGGGCACTGTCAGCAACATGAAAACGATAACTAAAGCCTGGTTGCAAACCAGTGCCACGCTCTCTAATCTCCTGTCCAAAGGGCAGGCAGAATACACTGCAGCAGTAATTACAAAGTGGGCTCTCATCATTGCTGTGAGAGAGTCCAATCTCAGCTATGGCGCAGACTGAGGAATGGGGAAAGCCTGTGGAGAGGAGAGGGGTGAGTTGTTCTGTCTGCTCTGTGACAGTATACAAATGTGGAGTAATCATGATGGATGATGTTTGTGTCGTAAAGAGTGGCTTCACATATTGCACTGATGTCCCCCCCGGCAGAGATTAACTGCAGTCCTGGTGTTGGCAACACTCATATCTGGATTTGGCTCATCGTTCCAGTATGGTTACAATGTGGCTGTGGTCAACTCTCCTTCACCGGTAACAGAAGCAGAAACACACTAGCTTCACTCTAGCACAAAGTGTCTCTTATATCTCGATCTTTATTTATTTATTTATATAGCACATTTAAAACCACCTCGATTGACCAAAGTGCTGTACAGGGAACACATATAGACAATAGGAGTAAAATAATAAAACAATAAAAAACAAGATAAAAAGCACAGTAACTAGAGACCTATAAAAAAACATACAAATATCCAAATGTTATGCTCAACTAGTATTAAAAGCCGGTGCAAAGAGATTAGTTTTTTGCTGAGATTTAAAAATATGATATATATTATTATATAATATCTTATATGATGATGTGTTGCTCTCTTCAGTTCATGGAGCAGTTCTATAATGCCACCTACATGGAGCGTTACGGCGCACCGATGGAGGGCACCCTCTTGACCCTGCTGTGGTCCCTCACTGTGTCCATGTACCCGCTGGGGGGCTTCTTCGGCTCGCTGATGGTGGCCCCTCTGGTCTACAAGCTAGGGAGGTAATATGTCACATGTATCATGCAATGTCCAAATCTGTACGGGTGTTTGTTTAACTAACAGGACTTTTTTTCCTGGGACAGGAAGGGCACCCTTCTCTTCAACAACATTTTCTCCGTCGTCCCTGCTGTGATGATGGGAGTCAGCGAGATTGCCAAGAGCTATGAGATCATCATTGTGGCGAGGTTCATAGTGGGCATCTGTGCAGGTTAAACTTTTTGATAATCCAAATTTCCAAAAGTCATTTATATGTATCTTGAAGAAATACTTCACCTCCAAAATGATAATTTTATTATGAACTACTCACCAAGTGTTACCTTGAATTTGCAAAGGAAACTTGTTGCCTCCATGGTAAAACATTTTTTAAATCAAAGAGACAATACTTGCTGATTTAAAGTAAATCCAGGCCACATTTGACAGCAGCACAACTTTATCAAAACATCTGTTTCCAAGTTCTCCCCAACCTGTGCAGTATAATCCAAGTCTTATTCATCCATTGCATGCTCACTGCTTCTGCGACACATGCATGTTGCAAATGTACTATTGTAACACTTTTGCATATAAAGCATAGACGCCTGACACTACATTTGTAAATGGATTATTTAATATTGCTTTGCTGTTGTTAAACACTGCCTCCATTCATTTCTTTGTTCACCCTGGAGGCATGCAAGAAAAACAAAAGGATGAGCACTGAAAATTATCATTTTGGAGGTGAATTTTCCCTGCAAGTTTTCTTTCCCTGTCTGCAGGCCTCTCATCCAGCGTGGTGCCCATGTATATCGGAGAACTCGCTCCCAAAAACCTGAGAGGAGCCCTTGGCATCATACCTCAGCTCTTCATCACTATCGGCATCCTCAGCGCACAAGTGCTTGGCATCAGAAACATACTGGGCAACAGCACAGGTCAATTCTCCGCTTATATGTTGAAGCACATCCTTAACAGCTGGTTGTTGGACACTCAGGAGAGATTTGAATGTATCTCTTTATTGGTAAAATATGTTTTTGTCTTTATCTGGTTCTGTCTTAGAAGTACTGCTTAAGGCAGCGTCTGTCATGAAAATATCTCTTAAATACACTTAATGGCTTTGGAGTAAACACATTACTCTACTCTGAAATGCATTTAATTTTGTTTTCCCTTGTCATGCGTCTGGGTTTGTTGTATCCTAACTATGTTAGACCAATGTTTGAACTGCTAAAATGTTATGTTTTGGCAACATGTTGTAGTTAGGGTTAGATTAGGTTAGTTTTTAGGGTATTTAACTCGTCTAAGGTCTTTTTTAGCTTGTAAATGTGTCTGTATAATGCATGAACTCTCTTCATTACTAAATGTGTTGTTCGGATATATTGTAAAAACGTTCTGTTCAGTGGCTGGTCCACTATTGCCAAGCTTCGAACTGCTTATCAAGGTGCATTTTGATTGTACTTGTATTTTGAACTGTTTGTGAATAAATAGAATTTTCTCTGTTCCCTACGTATCCAGGATGGACCCTCATGCTGGGTTTGACCGGTATCCCCGCCCTGGTGGAGCTCCTGCTGCTGCCCTTCTTCCCAGAGAGCCCCAGGTACATGCTGATCCAGAGAGGAGACGAGAAGACGGCTCTGAGAGCTCTGCAGCGTCTGCGCGGCAGAGAGGACGTGGATGCAGAGCTGTCAGAGATGCGTCTGGAGGACCAATCAGAGAAGGCCGAGGGCCGCCTGTCCGTGCTCAGCCTGCTGTCCCAGCGCTCAGTCCGCTGGCAGCTCATCTCCATCGTCGTCATGAACATGGGCCAGCAGCTGTCGGGGGTTAACGCGGTAAGCAGTGGCCCTGGTTCCTGACTCACTGATGCACACACCTACTCTGATCAGATATAATGAATCGCTTACACAACACTTTCTTCTGTTTTCAATTACAGTAATGTTGCATCCTCCTTCTTATGTTTTAAACTCTGTTGTCCAACTCTTGCCTAATTATTTACCTATAATGCATTTGGTAGCTTTGAGTATATGCATCAACATACTTATGATGCATTATAGATTATAATGAAAGTGAATAATTACAGCTATAGGCCCTCTATGCTTATAGATCATGGATCCTAATATTCGCTCATCCACTGTAAGGATCATAGTTATTATCAGTTCCATAATATTAACAATATAATATTTTATAATGCAATATTATTACGGTTAAATGTCAATTTGATTCAACAGGTTATGACAGACAGTAAAATGTGAATTCTGAATGATGGACATGTACATTTCCCTAATGTAACGTTTCCCTAACTTTAAACCAATGCTGTAAACACTTGATTCAAATCTCAGCATCTAATGGTATTTCTTTCACTTAAAGCCTACTTAAAGCAAACAATGGCCACTTACAGTGACTTATGACCAACTTGTTATGTACTAAATCCGTCTGTAACTCAAGAATTTCATTACTTCACCTGAAGGATCCCATGACGACTTATAATGGATAATCCTATTAAAATGTAATATAACTGTAATTCAAATGCATTAAAATGTGTTTAAATCATTACAATGGGACCTATTGTAAGCTGTGATAATTTCAAAAAATATGAGCAATTATGATACTGGATCGTATAGGTCATTATAAAATACTTGACTTGTTTATAATGATTATTTTATAAACATTTTGGAAATGTATGAGTGCTTATAACTATACTTATGCTATGAGTATGTTTATAATGCATTATTTAAATGACATTATAAAGTGTTACATGCATTTCTCCCTCCCTCCTCAGATCTACTACTATGCAGACAGCATATATGCCAGTGCAGGTGTGAAGCAGGACGTCATCCAGTACGTCACCGTGGGAACAGGTGCAGTGAATGTCTTCATGACCATCGCTGCTGTAGGTACCCTGTGATATCTGTCGTTTGATCTTATCAGAGTAGATGATTATAGTTATGAACAGGGAATTTGTCTCACCAGGTCTTCATCGTGGAGGCCGTGGGGCGACGGGTGCTCCTCCTCTGTGGCTTTGGGATCTGCTGTGGGGCCTGTGTGCTGCTCACTGTCGCTCTCAACTTCCAGGTACCATCATGGATGTACAGTTTAAAGTGAACCATCAGAAAGCTTCAGTGTCTCACAGCCTCAACATGTAACTCTGCTGTCCTCTAGTGGTTCACCATACACATATATAATCAGCAGAGTTTCTCTATAGAGGACCTTGAGGTCAGGAGACATGTGAATCATAGGAGATTTTTAGAAGAGGTTAATTTGGGATTCTTCAAAAAGATTTAAACTGTTTTTAAAAATCTGACAGGAGAGGGCACGTTGAAGACTTGAGCACACGCCTATATATTTACAGAGCAACCCCCATCCGCTAAATAGCCTTGTCCTGCATTGGAAAGTACACAGTTAAAACAGAAAAGTTAAGAAGAAGGAAAAAAAACGATGATTGTTAAAATAAAAAACACAAACAAAATATAGACAGAGAATACAAATAAGTCACTTAATGTCAGTCAGTAGTCGTCTGTTTACTTATTCATGGAAAAACTGAGGCAAAGAGAAACTAGTGGTTTATTTATTGAACCATCTAATTTCTCTTCAATAGCTTCCATATCATGTGACCAATTGACTCTAAATCAATGCATGACTACACTAGACGGGTAGGACACATCTCTTTTTATTGGATTTTAGGGCACCTTCTTTTTGAGACAAACAAATGATTTTTTTTTCAAAAGCTTCCATATCATGTGGCACAGTGACTCAAAATCCATACCAGATATTATTAGTATAGTGGACAAATAAGACACACCTCTTCAAAAAATTGATTTTGTTCAAATGTATCAATCTATATTTTAAAGTGCATTTTGAATAACTTAAAAAAAAAAAGGAAAAATCAGCAGTTTAGCCTCGTGGTCCAGAGTGCAGGAATTCAAAGCCAATACAGCAGGATGTGCGTCACTGTGCTACGAGGATCACTGCACTGGTGTATCATTTTAATATATTACCCTGTTGGATGTTGGTCTGGAAGATAAATGTGCTGACTTGACATGTTTATTTGCTGGGGTCATGAGAACTTTAAGGACATAAAAACAGTCGCCCACCAGTGAAGTATAAGGAAACACAGGCCATCAGACAACCACAAAGCCAGCGGTGTGATCTCACCTGGATTAAAAATCAGACAGGCCTCACTTTCAGCTGTCTGTTTAAATCTTCCCACACAATGCAGCCATTAGCAGGATTTTGTTACACATATGTTCCTGTTTAAAAGCATCATGATTTCCTGTTAATAATAACTGCAGCTGCTGCTTTGTGTTGACAGGAGAGCGTGACGTGGATGTCTTACGGCAGCATCGCCTGTGTCATCATCTACATTATAGGACACGCCATAGGACCCAGTGAGTCTGACCTGGCGATGGTTATTTACACACCCCCTGATTATAACAGTTGTCCATTAGCTGAAGTGTTGTTTGGATGTGCTCAGACATGTAATGATACAGGTTGCAAATCGGCACTCAGGCATGATCTCCCCACGCTGTGACCCTGAAGAGTGATGACGTGTCTCGAGTGTTTGTGTTGTGGTTAACCACATCTGTTCCCTCCAGGTCCCATTCCTACTGTAGTGACCACCGAGATGTTCCGGCAGTCGGCCCGGCCCGCTGCCTTCATGGTCGCAGGCTCCGTCCACTGGCTCTCCAACTTCACTGTTGGCCTCGTGTTCCCCTTCCTTGAGGTCAGTTACACAATGTGTTGGGGGGGAGGAAGTTTGTTGTTTTGAAATGTAATTAGTTACAGATGTTATAGGTGTAAACAAAAAGGCATTCCAGGTCACTTCCTGACAGCGATATGATCACTGCTTTACTGAATATTGGAATGAAGGGCTGTCTGGATTGGCAGACACACTTTTAATACCTCCAAACAAAAGAAACACTGTTAGCATTGAGTGGATGAAATGCTACGTTTTGGTCATAGACCTTGTTCAAGCACCAAACTCACAATGTGAAACAATATCATTGTTATAATAGAATTGACACAACCAGTCAAACATGAAACAAACATCTGACACAATACACCATTTAAAATGAGAAAAATATATATACAACAGTTCAACATTTTGGGGAATACAAACGAAGATCAATCCACTGTTACTGGACTGCACTAACCCTTAAATCCAGTGAAGCTGCTCAGTGGCCAGTGGGCAGATACCTGAATAAATAAAGGTTAAAACTAAAAACATGGAAACATTGTTGAAACAGTCTTGTATTTCAACCCAGTCTCATGGCATTTCGTGTTATAGTCACGAAATGTAATCTATTGATTCGTGTTCACCAACACGATTATCCCCTTGTTTTCGTGTCACACAGAACGATTTTAAAAGCAATGTATTTCTACTGGTAATGTGTTTCGTGCATGCACCACATGCTTCACTTGGAGGCTGTCTGAAGGTATACACAGATGGACTTGGACATTAACAACGATATTCCGTAATAAGTCTGGCAACAATAGCCGGTTTAAATGATTTATTCGAGCAATTCGTTTGTCTTGTTGTAGTCCTCGCTGTTCGCGTCCGGATATCGCCATCGTAATCACAACCTCACACATTAGTACTGGATGTGCATCAACGTGTTCCTAAGAAGCCAAATATACCAAAAGATGTATGTAAACAACAGAAGAAAGCGATCAAAATGTGTATTTCAGTCGAAAGCCACGCACCCCACTGAAACGAGTTGATCGGGAAACAAGTTGATCGGGAAACAAGTTAATCCGGAACACCGGGAGGATAAAGACTGACGGACAATCCACACAGCAGCAGGAGCGAGCGGTATGTAACTTCTTCATTCATGCTGTATAAATGTTTGTTAGAACACAGTGTGAATAAGTTACTGCTGCGTGTCCATTGGGGACTGACTTGTTGCTTGCGTGTGTTGGTTTGTGCCGCTAGAGGTTGTGTGGATTGGAGCATTTGTTGTTCATTCATTAAAACATTAAAAGGATATGTCAATAAGTGGATCAAATTCAGATGTCAATGTGGCAAAAATGGATGAACAAAAGAGAGAGTCGATACTCACTGCCAAGGCTTTGGCAAATAAAATGGAAAAGCTTCAAAAGGAACGTCAATCAACGGTTCACAAAATGAAAAGTGTGATTAAAACAATGAA